AAACAACAGCTTTTCGACTGCTATTAAGTGTAATTTCATCAGAGTCGTATATTTCCATAGACACTTAAGCGGTTAAGTTTATAAGAATATTTTTGGCTATTTCGAAAAAAAAAAGTTTGATAAGCAAACATTAATAATTCATATAAATTTTTGAAGTTATAAACATTTTTCAAATCAGTTTAAAACTCAAAAAAAACAGAGTCCGTAATTGTGAAATGGCCAAAATTATTCATTAATGAATTATTATTCGTTTTAATGGCCATTTCACCATTATTTATTTGAAAAGATGTATTTTAATGGTCGAAATGGGCTAGCTACAAGTAATAAAGCATTTTAATGACCATTTCTTCATTATTCACTTGACTGGGTAGGCTTGAGCCTCTTCTGAATTACGGATCTAGGTTTAGGCACATTGGAATCTAGAGTTGTTTGGATAGACAGAACTTATTTCAGTGCAGAAAATTGAAACTTTCTACGTGTTTATCTATTTATCGAGATGAAGAAAACTGAAAATTGATATGGCAATAAAATTCATAATATATATCGCCATGAATTTTAGCGGCACCATTTCTTTTTATTCATACAAACTGGAATGTTAAAGAAATCGATTATAAAATGATGTGCTCCAAACATAATGCATCTGTATTCCCTTTCGTGATATTATCATTCACTCAATGTATTGAGTGGAAATACAACTCTAACAATTACAACTATGACAAAAATATTAAATAAATATAGTCTTAAAAAATTGATTTCTACACCTATCTGGATTTCGTTCTCTCGTATTTTATGGACCTATTTGACATCATGAATCTACTAGGGTGGTGGGTTACGATAGCATTCATAATCTTCAAAATACTGTTTCATGGTAATGCATATTTGATCAGAAAAAATATTTTCTTTCGAGTGAAATATCAGCGTCCATATTTTACGTTATAAATATCAAATGTCCTTGAAACAATCTACTAAGTTCGTTTTTAAATATTTCACAAAAAATCAAACAGTCTAATCCTCACGAGAGATCTGCAAGAACCTCCAAACTCTGGCGGTGTCGGAATCGGAGTCAGTCTGTTTTTTCAGAGTCGGAGTTGATAGAAATTATAGAGGCTCCGAAAATCTTTTCTTATTTTTTCCGCTGCAGCATGGTGGAAATTATTCCTAACTACAGTTGTATCTTACGGGTGTGGATGTGGGCATTGTCTTTACTGACACCTGCCCACATCCACACCCTCAGTTAATAACTCAATAAGCTCTACAACTTGACATCACTAAAATTTTAAAAGCAATTTATCAATCCGTTGTCTTCTCTCGTAAGATCAAAATTAATCTCACAGATATCTACTTTGAATGCTAAAAAGATTTTCGAAATCTCGAGAAATGATTCGACGATTTCTAAAAATCTTTTCTTTACAAAAGAATTTCTTCGTCAATCAAAAACAAAATGTAACAATATAAATACTTACGTTGTAACGATAGGAAAGAAGTATTCTTCACAGAATGCAACTTTTTGAGATAACAATCTGTTTCAAAGAAAAAGATTATCATAAACTAACTTTAACATAAAATTTTTCTAAACAGTGTAAAATCATATACATATATAGACGAGTACATACACGTATTATTTCTGATGCATAATTATGTATACGTTCAATTGACTATAAATAAATATATTATTATCATGAATAAAATATTTAGTACAACTTACAATAATATCTGTAAATTTGATAACAAGTGTTATATCTTTTCCACGTATATTTGAATAAAAACATAGATAATTTACAGATAAATAAAGTAAACCTTGCTGAGATGCACGATCCGCCAATAAGAATATGAATAATCTTTAAAAGAAAAACATTTTATTAAAAAAAAATATGAAAATTGACTTTTTAAAGTATACTTGCTGATTATAAGTTTTTCATTGACTGACAGATTAAATAATTTCTAAAACGACGTATTGAAACACCATTATTCGATAATTTACCGGTAATCTAAAGAAAATATAAAAAACAATGTTATTTTTTTATGGTTAAAACGTTCGTTGGAACAAAAAAAAAATTCTAATTAATAAAATTGACCTGAACGACAACTCCATCATCAATAGTTGAATGTGATTCGATCTGACGAATTTTTGCATGACAATCCTGTAAATTAAGATCATTAATTCGTTGAGAAATATTTTCCGGACCGATAACATGTTGTTCAACACAACCTAGTCGATCAACACTACCATGAATGAATGTATTATCCGTAGAATAAAATCTAAATTTAAAGAGAAAAAAATAAATATATTGAATAGAAAAACAACAATCTAGAGTACCGATGAAGCAAATGAGAAGCCTGATGTAATACTGTATAATACTGATGGATGAATGCATGGCATACCTAATTAAATAAAATGAAATTCCTATTAAAAACAAAGAAATAAACAGATACATCAGACGGGGTCGGACTTGTTTGCATCATATTATTAGGTTGTTGAAGAGATGGGATGGAATGAGATCGCTATTTGTTTAGCTGGTGTTCCCCCGCATAAAAAGTGTTCCACTATGTGATGTTAACATCATACACTGGAACACTAGCTAAAGGAATACCGATGAGATCTAAAATCAAAGAAAGGTAATCGAGACAATTCATTTGTTAACAATAGTAACACAATAAATGAGTGAGAGAAAGAGCAAAGACGAACGCACGATAAGTCGGTGTATAGATGCAGTTGCTAACAAAACAGACAAAAGTTAGCAGCACAATGAGAGATTGACATAACAGAGACCATGGCAGTGCGCACAAGATACTTGTGCAGTATTATTTGTATTAGATGTGACTACTTGTCACGACTATGAGGAAACAGTTTTGTATTGCATGATCAAGTTTTTGTTTCACATATGAGTTTTTTTGCTTGCACATTCTACAATGACACAGAATAGATAAAAGCAAAATCATATCTATCACTTCATCTTCATCAATAATTTTATGATAATAAGAATTAGATAAATGATAGAAAATATTATATAATTCGATTTGTCATTGTTATTTATATTATAATATATTTAATTTTGATCTTGTTTTATGTGAATTTTTTGTGAAAGACTATATGAAAAAAAAATACTTTAATTATATTCATCACTTATTGGCTGATCATTGTCTAATGTATAGATCGACCGTCCGTTTGTTTCTTTTTTCTGTTTTTTGAATATATTCATATTGCGAGATTGACCACTCTCCATCATTGTATAAGAAAAATAAAAACGATTAATCAATACAATATAATAGCAATATGAACTGATCGAAGTAGACGGACGCTACAGCATATATAAAAGTATCGAATAAATGTATATACAATAAATCAATGAAACATGAAATTGGATGAACTACCACATGAACTGTTATTTAAAATTTCAACTTATTTGACACTTTTCGACATTGGATACTCACTAATCGGTGTATGCAAACATCTGGATAAATTGCTTGCTGAAAATAAAAACGATCGTCGTACACTGGCTTTCCATAATGGTCATTGTTCACATTCTCTTTATCAAGCTTTTCTTGATGATCACAATGCTTCCGTACACGTTGTTTGAGTATGTTTATTCGTTCATTAATATTGGATGGTTTTTGCAACTTAGCCTACACTTATGAGATTCTCTCTCAATGGACTAATAGCACGCTTTCATTCTTACCTTCTGTACGGGAACTCACTCTCTGGAATATGGAGTTTTTTCAAAAAAATACCTTAACATCGCTTGCCATTACTCTTGCCTGTAGTACTGGCACTAATATCATCGGACAACTCGACAAATTTACATTGATTTCTGCCAATGCCGACCTATGGTATGTTACAGTTCTTCATGAACTCACCTTCTTACAAGCTTCTTGTCCTACAATGATCTTTCATGTAACTGATGGTATGTATGATAATAAAAAAAACTATAGGTTTCTTTTGTCATTGAGATTAATCATTCAATTCAGTTTCTCATCACATCTCGAAATATGTCTGAATAATTTATAAAGAGAAAAATATAGTAGTTAGAATGATATTTTTTAATTTTGTTGACTTTTGATATTAATAATTTTGATATATTTGCACTTTCCTTTTGTGCTTAACTTCATGCTTCCATAAAGTAAAAGTATTTTAATTACATTTTATATGTTGATTTTACCAATTATCTATGATTGTTTACAAATAAAGCTTTTAATGACGAAAATAGCAGCTTTCTTGATATTATCGATTTTTTCATGATTCAATATCAGAACCAATAAGTATTTAGTTTACTTCTTTACAGATATAGTAAAAAAAAATAATTGACATGTAATTTACTCGGATTTTTTATATCTATAGGAATGAAAACGTGGGACGAGACAGGTCGAGGAAGCTTGCACGTTTTAATCGGTGTTTCTGGACGACAGCCTTGCTTTTCACGCACTGTCTATTTAACGTTGTCTCTTAAACGCTTCACAGAACTGTTACTTCTACTACAACCAAGTGCAATGCCTTGCCTTGAACACTTCACTGTGACGTTTGAACGTGATGATTGAACTGTTTGTAATTTAGAACATTTTTATGAATCCAAGAACATATTGACCGAGTCCTATTTAGTAACAATGAATGTGATGCACTTACATACACTTACAGTGCGTGGTAGTGATGATAGTGATTTTTCGATGAGCAATGTCTTGTTGATTATTCGCTATTTGAAAATGCCCAATCTCAAATCATTGACATTAATTCACGCGCAGACTTCATGTAAGTACAGTAGTAATAAAATGTTCTTTACTTCTAGTATTTAATCTACTATGTCGAAAATAAAATATTATTTTAGTATTGAATCAACTCATCGAATTTCTACAAGCTATACATTCAAGTTCTCTCTGGTTCTCACTCAATTATTTCCGTTTCTCTTTGTGTCTGCCTGTTATATTACGTTACGAATACGAAGCGACTGAATTCGGTGATGTAGTTTTTAACACTAGTGATTGGCTTGCAAGGGGATGGTGCGTACGTCATATCATTGAAGAACATTTTTCTTCTACAATGTTAGTCGTCTATACCTATCCATGCCATTTATAAAATGATCGCATCTTGAAAAATCATCAATTTGTTGCACGTACTATCGATCATGATCGACAAACAAATGTACAACATATGGTATGGTTGTGCAGAAATAGTAATATTGACGACATCAATTTACATTCATCGGACACTGTTGAACATAGTTTACGAATTCTCTCTCGTGTATACCACTTAAAGTGACATTGGTACATGCCACCAATCGGATTTTCAGCATCGGTAAGAAATCAATTTATTTAATAAAGTAATTTTTTTTTGTTTTCATTCTCCTACAATAGGACTTCATGCAGCGCAATTCTTATTTTCCTCCTCTTCATCTTCGTTCTATACATCTCCAAGTGATTGGTATTGATGACACACAAGCAGTAATTTATGCAAGTTTACTACGAAATCTGCTGACAAACGCAGTTCTTCTTCAATGTCCGAGCGTTCCATGGAGCGTAGTACGTGAATTAGGTTGTTGTTGTTCTTATTCGGCACCATTGTATCGTCTTGGAAGTTTATTTTTGCATTTTGGATGATCACAACCCAGTGTTGGACAACCACAACCCAGTTATGAACCAGTAGATGGTTCAATGCTGACTCTACTATTTCCG